GGGATTGTGACTTTTTAGACATTTGGGTTAAAAATGTCAGTGTGATTGTGAAAACCTGAATATTCCATGCAATAAATTATCAGACCATACTGGATTAAATGAAATTACATACAGTTCACTCACACAGTTTAGTGGTCTAGCAAAACCTTATATTGATTCAAGCTCCTGTTTTTTTGTGCTAGCAAAATATATCAACTTCGGTTCCCCTAGTACAGAGTGATATTTTATTAGAGATGATACTTAACTCCTTAATCTCCTCTACAAATTCTATGAAATGATCACAGAATTGGTAGCTCTGTATGAGCTGAGCTTCCAGGCTGATATTATTTAAATAAGAACCTAGACCACTGATAATATCTTGTTAATGAACTACTGGCAGTGTTCATTTTGCTTTAATTAACATTTTAAACACTACTTAATGGATTAGCCAGTTAGGCTTTAATTACTAGCTGAATATAGTTAACTTTAACGTTTTTAATTATTGTGAAATACTAGCGATAGTGTAACTAGATTTTTTTAAATTCAAATACTTGAGTTAATATATATTGCATTTTCAAGTGCATAAAGAGCCTTTCTGATAACTGAGTGGTGTTTGTAGCCGTGAAGAATCCCTGTATATTTGCTCTTGGGTTTGAGTGTTTGTTTCTGTACAGAGAAATTCAGCTAATGTTCTTTTAGATAAAATGATTTACATGAGCGTGTGATCTTGATTAAGTCAGATTTACCGTGGGCAGCTGATCCCCATGCCTTCCTTTGAAGTACCCAAACAAATAAAACTTTTTTTTTGGCTGGCTGTTTTTTTTTTTGTTTTATTTATTTTATAATCTTTTATTTTATTTATTATTATATATTTTATTATTTTATTTGTATTATTATTTTTATTATTTTAACTTTTTTTTTGGCTGGTTGGGTTTTTTTTGTGTCTGATATTTTTTTTTTTCCCCTGATGGCTTTAAAGTGTTGTTTTTCTTTCCACATTTAAAACCACAGCCAATCAGCACTTCAAGTCTATGTGATAGTTCTTACAAGAGAAATCTGTCTGCGCTGGTGTCTGAGGATATGTCAGTATAAACACCGTTTGTGGCTCAGAAGGAGAAACTGTGAGCGTGAGGTAGCAGGAGGACCAGATGTAGCAGAGATCCCAGCTATCTGTGGCCGGGATAGCTGCTTCTCTTTTGTCTGGGAAGATGCTTTGGCTGCGTAGCTTCTCCGCAAGGCTGCGAGTTTTGCCGTGCAGAGCTGCACTGGGTAACTGACCTCGGCATCCGGCCTCTCACCTCCATTGCTGCTGGATTTTTTCTGTGGTGGCTCTGCCCTACTGTGCGCTGATCAGGCAGTGTTTCAGTTCACTGTTTTTTAAGAGGGGAGATGAGGGGTGGGATGGGGGAAAGGCATGAAGAGTACTGTCGTCTCACCAGAAGTCTTCTGATCCCGATGACCTAGATCGGTCAGGCAGTGCTGTCTTCTCTCTGCTGAGTCTTGCCTCTATTGTGTTGTTCTCTTGAAATAGCTCAGCTGCTCTTCTGCTTGCTTTAATATTCTCTTATCATGGCAAAGATCTTGATTGAATCAGCTCATTTAAGCATTTGAGTAGGGATGATGTAGCTAAAACCTGACTAGGCCCAGCGAGGGTGCTGAGTATTTTTGCAAATACTTAATTCAGTATATAATCATTTAGCCATTACCCCAGTAAGAAGATTACGCTTGATATTAGAAACTTGTTCTGTGTGCATCAGGGGCTATAACACTTGACTTTCAGTGGGGTTTTTTTGGGTTTTCTCTCTCCTCTCTCCTGCAGTATTCATCTTGTTATGTGTTCCTCCTGCAATTTCTGCTGCCCTAGAGAGTGAAGTGGCTGGTTTAGCAGGTACAAATTAACTTGTCTACCCAGTGGGCTGCTTCCAGAATAGGTGTGTGGGTCATCTTTTCTTATTTTGCCTCGGTGAACCCCACCAAGCTGCTGATTTTTCTCTAAAATGTGTAGTTGGTTGGTAGGTCTGAAAATTGCTGGGTGGCAATAGGTTTATGCAGTCATGACTTGGTAGCTGTTGTCTGAGTTTCCTTACATAAACGAGCTCTAAACTAATGGCAGAGTAATGCTTTGTCTACATCTGTGACTAAACTGGGCTTCACCTGGGAAGTTTAATATTAACTTCGATCTGTGTGGGAGTATATTACTGTTTGTATTGTAGTATTTTTTGTAGGAGCCGTGCTCTGAATTTAGGAAGAAATAAAGTTACACCAACTATCCTTGTCTTCTCTGCTGATAAACTCAATTCCTTGGGCCAAAAGCACTTTAGTCTCTGTTCTTTTTGAAGTCTGTTACTTTTTGGAAGTGTTTTCGCCAACAGGATAATACTGTTTTATTGGAATGGTACAGACTTTATTCTGTCTTGCCAGAAGAAGGAGGAACTGTGAAGCAATGGATTCATTGCAGAAGCGGCTAACTTGTATAAATAGTATTGGTTATCAATAGGCGTCTCTTACTTGGAGATGTGCATGATCACAGCTTGAGAGGATGAGGTGTTGGGAGGCAAAATGTTTTTAAAGTTGGTGTTGGAGTCAGACACTTGAATGAGTTAATATTGCCTTGGTAGGGCGCGTTGTTTCCGAGCGAGGTGGAGACAGTCATCTTTATTTCAGGTACTGCGAGCCTTTCCTCTCTGTAGAAACATCCAGGATCCATGCATTCCTCTGTGTTCCCCATGACGCACTCAGGAGGAAGCTGCTTGAATTACTTAGGCATTTAACAAGCAGTTTAACACAAGGATTCTCTAGAAAAATTACTTTTATGCTAGATAGTCCTTGCACCAAGTTTTCTCTAGCAGATGAGCCTAAGCTGTTGTCCTGCTCTGCCAAATTCAACCTTTTATGCAGTCATATCTTGAAAAATACTAATGCAGACAGAATTAGCTCCAGAAAGTATATTTTTGAGCAGAGAATAGAAATATTATTCACTAGAAAGGTTATTTTTGTGTGGGGAGGAAATAGTGGAATACATTGTTAGCATAAAATCCTGGTACATCCTAAGTCAATATTTGCCATATATTTCCTGCTTACTAAGCAAAGATGCCCCTGATGCAGTTCCTTGCAGACATAGGTTGGAAGGGACCTCGGAAGAACGTCTAGTCCAGACTTATGTGGGAAAGGGAGCCTAAATGAGATTATCTAGCACCCTGCCCAGTCGTGTCTTGAAAACCTTCAGTGATGGTGACTCTGCCACCTCCCTGAGGATGTTGTTCCAGTGATTGATTGTTCGCACTGTAAAAAATTTTTCTTATCTCAAGGTGAAGCCTCTTCCAGAATTGGCAATTTCATATTATTTGTGCTGCAATGATGCTGAGTGAAGGAGGTGAAAAATGGCAATATGATGTCTTCTACAGGCTGAAATAGTTATAGTGAAAATGTACCTAGTTTTCACGTTTTTTTTTTTAGCAAGGCAAATTTAATAGTGAAGTTTGCTAATTTAAAAATGATTCTGTAGCATATCAGAGTGAAAATTCTTGGCTCCTCCATCCTTGGAGGGGAACACAAGTACAAAAAGAGTACCAGGGAAATTATTTAGGGGACCCAGTTTGTAGGTCCAGTGTATAGGTCTGGTTGAACCTGTAAGACCAGAGAATCTGTGCCTTTTCCTGAGGGCTTCTC